ATGTTGAAGTCGCCAAAGACTAAAAGTGGACTACCATCCTCCGGGAATGAGGACAGCAACCCATCCAGCTCCTCTTGGAAGGTGCCTAGAATTTGCCCAGGCGGGCGGTAAATCACCACAGCCTGGAGTTGTATAGGAGCTGTTACAGTAACCGCTTGAGATTCAAATGAGTTATAATTGCATAGGGGAGAGTGGGTTGAGTATTTCCAACTGTTAGAAATGAGCAGACCAGTGCCCTCACCCAGGCCAACCTGACGGGGGGTGTGAGAGAAAGAGAAATAGTTAGATAGAGCAGCTGGGGTTGCTGAGTCTTCTGGATGAATCCAGGTCTCAGTCAAGCCCAAGATGCTGAGTGTGGATTGTAAAGAAAAGCAGAAATGAAGTCTGCTTTATTGACAGTTGACTGACAATTCCAGAGACCCACAGAGAAAGAAAGAGGTGCAGTAGAAGATGTAGAGATAGAATGCAGGTTAGCAAGATTGCGTTGCCATCTGCGTGTGATGTTAGAGCGTTGTCGAGAGACAACCGGAATGTTTTGAAAACACATGAGAGAGGACAGAAAAGGAGAGTGTGTAAAGGGAAGATAAAAATTATACTTGTGCGTTGCTCGGTGAAGTCGGGCAGGTAAAGTCGCAGGTCTTTACACTCGTTGGTCTTCACGCGAGGAGGGCTGAACGCTTCCGCGTCAGCGCACAGACATCAAATAAATACACGGTCTAAGACACTAAAGTGAAAACAGCTGTGGCCGGCTTCTAATTAGCACAGCCAAATAGCAAGGCAATTGCTCAAATCGAAACTACAGTTCGCACTTCAGTGAGGGAAGGGAGCAATGCAAATAACACGGGCTCCTTCTTAGCCGAGGGCAATTATTATAATTGCCAGTAAGTGCAATCAAAAATACAAACTCCAACAAAACATTTTGTTTGTGGATTTATTCATCTACAAACTGCCAAAATCTTTGACAGTCCAGAAATCATAGGGCCCTAAAATAGTTTTGTGGACCCCACTTTGAGCCATCTAACACCACAAAACTTCCCAGAATTCCCCATCTATTGATAATACTTACTGATGTTTGCGTTTGTGATTTCTGTAATCACTTCCTGGAGCTTAATGTCATTAAAGCTGCACTACAGATCATCGCCAAAGAAACTATGATCTCCAGCTCGAAAAATACATGAAGCTGTTTATAATTATGACTGCTGTGATGTAAAGAGTCAGTGTTTCTTTGTTCCCAGAGGTGAGGAACTACATCTGTGACCAGTGCGGCCAGACGTTCAAGCAGAGGAAGCATCTGTCTGTGCATCAGATGCGTCACTCCGGAGTCAAACCGCTGCAGTGAGTATGAGCACAGCCTCTCGGTGCAGTCTCAGAGCTTCGCCCTCACTGCGTCTGTGTGCGTTTCAGGTGCGAGGTGTGCGGTTTCCAGTGCCGCCAGCGGGCCTCTCTCAAGTATCACATGACCAAGCACAAGGCGGAGGCGGACCTGGAGTTTGCTTGTGTGATCTGCAGCAAACGCTTCGAGAAGGCGCACAATCTGAACGTGCACATGTCTATGGTGCATCCTCTCCTGCAGGGCGCCGGTGGTTCTGTTCCTCCAGACTCGTCCGCCAGCAGCCCGTCAGCAGCTCAACACGCCGACTTCAGATCCCAGCAGACGAGTGCCGCCGCGCACCCATCCAACCTCAGCTACGTGCTGGACAGTCTTCAGTCCAAACTCACCGACAGCACAGTATAGACCAGCGGCTCTCAAAGCTCAGATCCCGAATCTGACACTCCTACTTCAGCTGCTGGAGTCTCACTGAGGAGTGCTGGAATAGAGCGGAGAATGATCTAGAGGTCGAGCTCGTCACGTCTGTGTTACAGCAGTCCCAATCAGCACCTGCTCAGAGCTCTCTTCCAAAGGCTAGCGAGTCGCTCTTATAAGAGTGTTTTAAACACTCACAGGTCACAGAACGCTACGGCTAGAGTAACATTTTTTTCCTCACAAGCTGCATGAAAAAACAGGGAAGTTATAGAGAAGGTTTAGAGCTGACAAACCAAATGTGTCCAGCCCAGTTTAGCCATGAAATGCTGAAATCTGGAGTTTGATCCAACGTTTCTGAACAGCCAATCACACGAAACACACAGAGCAATGGTTTCAGTTCACTCTCACGAGAGAGTCGGCGCAATTCACTGCTGTAAGAGATTGTTATGAAAAATGTCATGAATTTAAACGTTTACAAGGCGGGAAAAAACTAACTCTTGCCTCAAAAGTTGGAGAAGGCAGCAGAAAGAAAACATCTGACTATATGAAAGCAGTCAATCATTTCTAGTTCTCAAAGAGCTTAAAAAGAAAACAAGCTTAGCCATTTTACAAGCTTTATATATTCTAAAGTTTTATTCATATGTACGTATTTAAAAGTTGAAAGTTAGAAATATATTTCCTTGTTTAATGCAATAAAGATATAAAATTCATATAAGTAGTGTAATTATTAGCAAAAGTGATTTTTCTCTGCTTTAATTTGGAGCAAGAATCAGTCTTTAAAAGTCTTAAATGTTGTATCAAATTTAAGACCATAATCTTAAAAGGTACAAAAAAGTCCTTGATTTCAGGAGGTCTTAAATTTGGGGACTAAAAAACAGAATTGTGATACAGCTGAATGTGAGGATTAAACTTCAGAAGACTGATTTCATTGAATAAACATGAGCACTGCTTGTTTCATAGTCAGCTGCTGCAGCTGGTTACCAGGGGAACCACAATATTTCTGCTGTCCCGAAAGCTCCTCCTGCTGGCAGAGAATGAAAGTGCATTTTTTCAATAAGCCTGTCTGCTGTTTTTATTCAGACCAAAGTGAAAATCAACCCGTTTTTACGCTGCAAACACGCAGACTTGTAAATGTGACCCGGTGGATCGACAAGAAGATTATAAATGCATTATAAAAATCTAAACAACTAAGACAGTGAAATATATTTATATTATTTAATTAATATAATAATTGATTGATAATAATTGTTTAAATTAATATTATTGATAGTTTTGACTAATCCATTTTCTTAAAAATGATTTAAAAGCTGAAATGTAAGGTTTATCATTTTAGAAATCTTTTTGTTTTTGTGAAAACCTGTATCTGAACTGTAAATCATGCTTTTACAGTAATTTTAGTTTAATATTGTACTGCAGACATTGCCCTACCCTGCTTATATGGTAATAAAAATCGTAAAAATCGCGCAGATACCCTGAGAGATGCAGGGCGTCTGATGGCCGTCACTTGACTCGCAGCTGATTGGTTTGGTGTTTGGTTTGCTCACTAGAGTTTGGAACGACGCTTATGACAGACTGCATGTTTTTATATGAAAGCAGTCAGAGGTGTTGCATCATGTTTTATTTTCATGCTCAGTTCCTTTGAATACATGAAGTATGTTTGCTGAGAATAGCCTGTAAAACATGTAACTGATCACGTGATGAGAGGCAGCACAGATGACTGTTGTTCTGATGTGTCGTCATGACGTCTCATGTGAAGGGTGCGTTTCTGAAGCTGCTGAGCGCCGCTGAGATCTCTGAATCCAGCTGCTCGTATTCAGACTGCAGCTACAGGAAACACAGACATCACAGGAAATCAAGACTCACTCGGTCACATTCACTGGCAGCTAATAACGGCACTGATTAATCCATTAATCATCATAAACACGTCTGTTCTGATGAAATTATGTTGGTGTTTTAATGTGTATATAATAAATACATCTAATTTTGCGTGTTCAAAGCTCTCCAATGTTGCATTTCTAGCTGTTTGTTTACTGTCTCGATACAAAAGAGCTCAAGCCCCTATTGCTGGGTTTCCCTGGTTTTCCCAAAAAGGAAAAGGCATTCTCTTTAGTGACATTATTAGAAATGGGCTTAAAAACTAATTTTAGCATATGATCTTCTGGTCTCTTTTCTGCCGTTTCATGGTCCAGCAGGTAAAAATGGTGCATGTAATCATTTAGTCACATGATTTAAGGAATCATTCATGTGTGAAGCACAAATGCAGATTTGCTGCTGCACACGACTTTAACACTTTCTGTTGGAACATGTCCTGTTGTGTGTGTGTGTGTGTGTGTGTGTGTGTGTGTGTGTGTGTGAGAGAGAGTGAGTGTGTACGGTGTGTGTGTGTGTGTGTGTGTGAGAGTGTGTACCTGTACAGGTGTAGCAGCAGCTGTCTCTGCTCCGGACAGGTGTGTGACACAGAAGCGGAGGACAGGATTCAGAGTCACACAGCACTCTTCCCTGTCGACAAGTACAGCTGCTGCACTCGTCCAGACGCCACGTCTCTCCCTCCACATACAGCTCTCCGGCCGGAGCGCGACACACCACCAGATCCAGACCCTCTGGCTGCCCGCTGCCCGACTCGTCTGACACACACACACACACACACACACACACACACCTAGTGAGCATTTCATCCTGAGATTGAGGTGTACTGGTCAGTTTGTGATCCGTATCATCTACTGAAATCAAGCTGCTTCCACACCCTCCAAAAATATCGCAGTGGATAGAAAAACTTGAATCTATTTATAGAATGGAGTATATGACACTCCAATTGAAACTGGACATTTTTATACAAAGGTGGAGACCTGTTACTATGTATTTGGACACATTGAAAATGAACGGCTCAGTAAGGAACCTTGATTTATTCCGTTGTATTATTTGACAATGCTGTATGTGTTTTCTTCCTCCTCTTCTTATTTATTTGTATCATTTTTTTCCTTTAAGTCACTGCTGCTGTCAAGGAATGTTTAGTTCATTGTTTGTAATTTGCTTTAATGTATACACATTTTATTTGTGGATTTAACATTAATAGATGGTCAAAAGCAAAAGAGCTGTAAACGTTCTAAAAATATTTTAGAGGTCCTTATATGTACATTTTTATAATCCATTGAAAAAATATATTACATTTTACGCAGTACATCTGTTTAAATTACATAATTTACAAGTGTCATGCTTGTTATTTTATTCATGTAAGCTATAGCTTCTGACCTTTAAATCAAAACAGGATTCTTTTATTCAGAAACAGAAGTATCTTAATGTTATTTGTGTATTTTACTTTCATTTTATTACAAGTAGGCCAACAGCACCCTCTAAGTAAATAAACCTTATCAGCAAGGCATATCGGCATATTGTTTTTCAGATGTTCACATTTTAAGCCTTTATCGGCCGATTCCGATAACGTACCGATAATATCATGCATCCATAGTAATCCAGCGTTTTTGAAAAAAAGTTGCCAGTCACCACCAGCGATTTTGATGGTTTTCACTCAAATTTCATGGCCTCCAGTATATTTTGCTGTATGAATATTTGAATACGCAATACACCAAAATAAAGATCAGAGCCTCTACTTTTAAACAGTTTTATTCTAGCTTAAAGCATTCCTTTTTTATCAACACTTCAATATAGGTAGGTTTCATAAAAAATGAATTCAGTTCAGCAGATTCAGTATTCCTCAAAATGAATAAAAATAACGCAACTCAGAATATGACGCAAACCTGCAAAAATGAAATGTTAAACAACACAAATATGCTTTATGTATTTAATCCCATTCTATTAGCTTCTGAGCTTCGATATTAATAAGATAACCGTACTAATAAGCACAAATTAGTCTTTTATTATTGCTGAAGTGTGTTGAAATTTCTTCTTCTGCGTTCTACTGTACGGTCATAAAATGTACTTTCTCTTCAGCCTGAGGCAGGGCTGCACGATTATGACAAAAATCATAATTGTCGATTATTCCCTTGAAATTGTAATTGCGATTGTTAATTACGATTATCACAATTTACATTGAACGATGTTTATACCATTGTTTGATGCAACTGCATGCCGTATTTTTACATGAAAATAAACGAGCTGAAAACACTCTAACTGAGAAACCTTTAGTGCTTTTCTATAGTATTAAGCCTCAAATATACATCGGATTGGTTTCTTCTTTAAATGATAAAAAAGTACAAATATGAATGGTATTATAATGTTATACTAAAACTAAAACAATGGAAAAACCCTTAAGATAACATGTAGAAAGAAAAAAACGCATCTTAAGCGCGCAGAATAACATAAGTGGACTTTGAACGATTACGCAATTGTGGCATCCGTAATTGTAATCGCGATTAGAAATTCGATTAATCGTGCAGCCGTAGCCTGAGGCGTATTCATTTCCCTTTTGCTGTGAAAGGCTTTTATATTTGCCAAAAATATAACTTTTTATTTTTAAAAACAAACAAGCAAGCCCTGTCCAGATTTAAAAAGTAACGCAAAAGTAACGTAACGCATTACTTTCCATAAAAAGTTACGGAATTTTATGGAGTATCGCAATATTGTAATGCATTACTTTAAAAAGTAACTTCCCCCAGCTCTGACTATTAGAGAGTGTTTTGTGTGTGGTACCGTCACAGCCGGGGCAGCACTGGTCGGCTCGGAGCACAGGGTGGACACAGCTGGGCACAGGGCAGCTGATCAGCACACACATCTCTCGGCCGGCGTGACAGAAACAGTCTCGGCAGCCGTCGTGCCATCCGTCTCCGTCCTCGAAGCGCCGGCCGCTCGCCGTCAGACAGAAGCTGGAGGAGGCGCTGTGTCTGTCTGCGTCCGAACATGATCACAACAATCAAAAGAAGACCATGACAGTAAACATCGTAAAAACTACAGCGAAACGACAAAACTGCTCAGCCGATTATGTGTAGACCTCGCAAAAAACGTCCAGCTCACAATCCAAACAAAAGAAAAAATGATATACTTCGCATAAATAAAATACTGTAATGCAATTAGTGATATTTCAGTGTCATTGATATACTACTGTCGTTTTTATTAATATTGAGTTTTTCATTTTATTTAACGTTTTAGTAATTTTGTTATGTGTTTTTGTCATTTTTACTACTTTTAGTTTTTTTAATCGGTCAATATCGGTTTTCTATCTATCGGTTTTTATTATTATTATGGTTTTTAATAATATTTTGAGTTTTCGTTTTCATTTTAATTATAGTTAACGTTTTGTAATTTTGTTGTACGTTTTTGTCATTTTTATTATTATTTTTAATATGTCTACTTAGATTTGTATTAATTTTGATTTTGGTTTTTATTAATATTTTTCAGTTTGATATTTTCCATTTTCAATTTAATTTACACACACACACACACACACACACACACCTAGTGAGCATTTCATCCTGAGACTGAGGTGTACTGGTCAGTTTGTGATCCGTATCATCTACTAAAATTAAGCTGCTTCCACACCCTCCAAAAATATCGCAGTGGATAGAAAAACTTGAATCTATTTATAGAATGGAATATATGACACTCCAACTGAAACTGGACATTTTTATACAAAGGTGGAGACCTGTTACTATGTATTTGGACACATTGAAAATGAACGGCTCAGTAAGGAACCTTGATTTATTCCGTTGTATTATTTGACAATGCTGTATGTGTTTTCTTCCTCCTCTTCTTATTTATTTGTATCATTTTTTTCCTTTAAGTCACTGCTGCTGTCAAGGAATGTTTAGTTCATTGTTTGTAATTTGCTTTAATGTATACACATTTTATTTGTGGATTTAACATTAATAGATGGTCAAAAGCAAAAGAGCTGTAAACGTTCTAAAAATATTTTAGAGGTCCTTATATGTACATTTTTATAATCCATTGAAAAAATATATTACATTTTACGCAGTACATCTGTTTAAATTACATAATTTACAAGTGTCATGCTTGTTATTTTATTCATGTAAGCTATAGCTTCTGACCTTTAAATCAAAACAGGATTCTTTTATTCAGAAACAGAAGTATCTTAATGTTATTTGTGTATTTTACTTTCATTTTATTACAAGTAGGCCAACAGCACCCTCTAAGTAAATAAACCTTATCAGCAAGGCATATCGGCATATTGTTTTTCAGATGTTCACATTTTAAGCCTTTATCGGCCGATTCCGATAACGTACCGATAATATCATGCATCCATAGTAATCCAGCGTTTTTGAAAAAAAGTTGCCAGTCACCACCAGCGATTTTGATGGTTTTCACTCAAATTTCATGGCCTCCAGTATATTTTGCTGTATGAATATTTGAATACGCAATACACCAAAATAAAGATCAGAGCCTCTACTTTTAAACAGTTTTATTCTAGCTTAAAGCATTCCTTTTTTATCAACACTTCAATATAGGTAGGTTTCATAAAAAATTAATTCAGTTCAGCAGATTCAGTATTCCTCAAAATGAATAAAAATAACGCAACTCAGAATATGACGCAAACCTGCAAAAATGAAATGTTAAACAACACAAATATGCTTTATGTATTTAATCCCATTCTATTAGCTTCTGAGCTTCGATACTAATAAGATAACCGTACTAATAAGCACAAATTAGTCTTTTATTATTGCTGAAGTGTGTTGAAATTTCTTCTTCTGCGTTCTACTGTACGGTCATAAAATGTACTTTCTCTTCAGCCTGAGGCAGGGCTGCACGATTATGACAAAAATCATAATTGTCGATTATTCCCTTGAAATTGTAATTGCGATTGTTAATTACGATTATCACAATTTACATTGAACGATGTTTATACCATTGTTTGATGCAACTGCATGCCGTATTTTTACATGAAAATAAACGAGCTGAAAACACTCTAACTGAGAAACCTTTAGTGCTTTTCTATAGTATTAAGCCTCAAATATACATCGGATTGGTTTCTTCTTTAAATGATAAAAAAGTACAAATATGAATGGTATTATAATGTTATACTAAAACTAAAACAATGGAAAAACCCTTAAGATAACATGTAGAAAGAAAAAAACGCATCTTAAGCGCGCAGAATAACATAAGTGGACTTTGAACGATTACGCAATTGTGGCATCCGTAATTGTAATCGCGATTAGAAATTCGATTAATCGTGCAGCCGTAGCCTGAGGCGTATTCATTTCCCTTTTGCTGTGAAAGGCTTTTATATTTGCCAAAAATATAACTTTTTATTTTTAAAAACAAACAAGCAAGCCCTGTCCAGATTTAAAAAGTAACGCAAAAGTAACGTAACGCATTACTTTCCATAAAAAGTTACGGAATTTTATGGAGTATCGCAATATTGTAATGCATTACTTTAAAAAGTAACTTCCCCCAGCTCTGACTATTAGAGAGTGTTTTGTGTGTGGTACCGTCACAGCCGGGGCAGCACTGGTCGGCTCGGAGCACAGGGTGGACACAGCTGGGCACAGGGCAGCTGATCAGCACACACATCTCTCGGCCGGCGTGACAGAAACAGTCTCGGCAGCCGTCGTGCCATCCGTCTCCGTCCTCGAAGCGCCGGCCGCTCGCCGTCAGACAGAAGCTGGAGGAGGCGCTGTGTCTGTCTGCGTCCGAACATGATCACAACAATCAAAAGAAGACCATGACAGTAAACATCGTAAAAACTACAGCGAAACGACAAAACTGCTCAGCCGATTATGTGTAGACCTCGCAAAAAACGTCCAGCTCACAATCCAAACAAAAGAAAAAATGATATACTTCGCATAAATAAAATACTGTAATGCAATTAGTGATATTTCAGTGTCATTGATATACTACTGTCGTTTTTATTAATATTGAGTTTTTCATTTTATTTAACGTTTTAGTAATTTTGTTATGTGTTTTTGTCATTTTTACTACTTTTAGTTTTTTTAATCGGTCAATATCGGTTTTCTATCTATCGGTTTTTATTATTATTATGGTTTTTAATAATATTTTGAGTTTTCGTTTTCATTTTAATTATAGTTAACGTTTTGTAATTTTGTTGTACGTTTTTGTCATTTTTATTATTATTTTTAATATGTCTACTTAGATTTGTATTAATTTTGATTTTGGTTTTTATTAATATTTTTCAGTTTGATATTTTCCATTTTCAATTTAATTTTATTTAAGGTTTTAGAAATTTAGATTTTTGTGTTGTGTGTTTTTGTCACTTCAATTAGTTTTTGTGTGTCTAAATAGTTTAATATTTTTTTTTTTATTTAATATTAATTTAATTTTTTTCTAAATAGTTTAATACGTTTTTTAGTACTTTAACTTAAAGTAAACGAAAATGCTAAATGTTGCTTTTTTATATATACTTTATTCAATTCAGTTAATGTAAAGTTTTATTTCAAGAAACATAAATGTTTTTTTTTATGGTTTTAGTTTTCGTTAATGTTGATAAGCCTGCATACACTGATTTTTAAAATGTAAATCAGCATAATGAAAGTCAGTAACAACTATAACTCAATGTATAAATACTTCACTATTTAAATTACGATAAGATCAGTCTAAAATGATAAGAGTATTAGTGTAATGTGAATATAATATCCTATTATAATTCCTGATTCCTGTCTCCAGCTGAAATAACATCCTCTAAACGTCCGATATTTTGCCAATAATGAGTTTATAATTATGCTGTGGATAAACTGAACCCTTGAAGTTAACCCTTGTGCGACCTTTTGGACATTTTTGTTTTTTGGGGAGTTTTGCTGGCATCTAGTGGGGAAAATGTGGTACTGCGCCCAAACAAAATCTTACTCAAAGCTCATTTTTTGAGATATCAACCTCAAATCTGGAACACAACTTGTTTAGATTTATGGCTTTGATTTTCTAGCAGGTATAGAGTTCAACATGTTTCATAAAATATATATTTTATATAAAATATCGTTCATAAATCCTTTTCATAAACTGAAACCTCTAAAAAAAAAAAAGTTCAAAAAGTGAGGAACAAATCAGGATTTATTAAGCAGAACGACATGTAAAAGATCGTTAGAGTACGCCAACTAAAACACTTATTATGCAAATGTAAAGAAAAATAGGGAATCACAAGATGCATTAATAATACAATCCAACTGCTTTGTGATAATTCCATTCATAATTCATTAAATATATATTAAAATTAATATAATATATTAATTTGAATAGATTAATATTCATTATAATATAGAAGTGTCAATGTTTTTTAGTAGTAACTATTATAGTTTATAGTTTAATATTTTGTATTAGGTTTTTATTTCAATATTTTCTGTTTTCTTTTTGATTTTAGTTAGTTTTAAATCATTTTAAATTTAATTTCATTTTAGAACATAGTTAAACAAAATGAAAAATCTAAAATAAAGTATCTTTATTTCAGTTAAAGTTTATTTCAAGCAAAGAAAATGTGTTTTATGGCTTTATTTGTAGTTGTCATTATGATATACGTGTTGTTTCAGTATCGCTGATATACTATTATAGTATACTACTAATACTACTAGCTACTATTAATATTTTGATATTATTTTTATTATATTTTGCTTTCATTTTAGTTTGTTTTAACATTTTTTGTGAATGTAATTTATTTTAAATGTTATTAGTTTAGTTATTTTAGTACGTCAAGTTAAACTAAACAGTGTAAATAAAATAATTTTATGTTTTTAAATTAATTTTATGCCAGTTATTTATATTTTTATTCAGTTATTTTATTTTTTAATTTCAAGTAATGAAAATGTATTTTTTGTAGCAATAGCCAACAATACATTGTATGGGTCACAATTATACATTTCTCTTTTATGCCAAAAATCATTAGGATATTAAGTAAAGATCATGTTCCATGAAGATATTTAATATACATTTCCTACCGTAAATATATCAAAACTTAATGTTTGATTAGTAATATGCATTGCTAAGAACTTCATTTGAACAACTTTAAAGATGATTTTCTCAATATTTAGATTTTTTTGCACCCTCAGATTCCAGATTTTCAAATATTGTCCTATCCTAACAAACCATACATCAATGAAAAGATTATTTATTCAGCTTTCAGATGATGCATAAATCCCAATTTCGCAAAAATGGACCCTTATGACTGTTTTTGTGCTCCAGGGTCACATATTAAATGTTGGGCATAAACCAGACTCACTATGCATATTTGTTCCAAGAGCACACTTGAATTTCCTTGCGGTTTTTAAACATTTCTAAATTGCTTGTAGGAACATTCTGTACAGTGAGGCCTCAGATGAAATCTCATGACCTCTGACCTCAAACCGTGAATCTCAGTCACTCACCTTCACACTCGCAGACGCTGCAGCCCTTCCTGCTCTTTCTGAAGCCGCCGCCGCCGCCGCCGCAGTGTTTGTCGCAGGTGAACGGCGGACAGCGGACGCAGCGGCACATCTCACAGCCGTGCTTGTTCCTCCTGCGAGGAGAAGCCACACATAAACCACCGGCTCAACCAGCACTAACCAGCATAAACCTGCTGGTTAAGCTACGAAAGCACAGCTCTTGATTCCTGCTTAACACTCAGACGCACTTCAACTTCTGAAGACGGATGAAAGCACGTCTCACGATACCTCGTAATAACGCAGGACACATTTATGCTTATATCGTCGTGATTCATTAAAGTTTCTGGTCGTTGGGAGCTGCTGCTGGAGGAGCGATACACCGGATCCAGATGCTCAAACCGGTCTAACGGCCATCTGGTTCTGTTTTCTTCTGCAGAACATGAGCTTCAAGAGTCCAGATAAAAGCAGCACCAGAAACATGTCAGTATATAGTATTAAATAATAATATTTAATACTATATAATAATAATAAATAAATGATAACTAAATACAATATTAATTATTATTACATTGTTATTTATTATTAAAAATTGTTATATTTAATATTACATTTAGGGTGAAAAAATTACTTGGTTTATTTTTGCTTTAATGACAAGAAAATAGCTCAAAATAATATATTTTATATTTGTTATATTACATAAAAATTATATCTGTATATAATTTAAAAAATATATATATTTATTTATTTAATTTAAATTTTTTAATTTATTTTTTATTAATTTTTAATGTATTTCTATTTTTATTATTTTATTTTATTATTATTTTATTTTTATTATTATTAGTAGTGCACCACCAGTAAAGTTCCTTAACTAGAGTCAGTGGCCAGCATAATGCTGATATATCTAATATTAAAATTACGCAACATATATATATATATATATATATATATATACACATATTTTTGTGTATATATATATATTTTAATTTTATTACACAAACATCATGTCTTTACATAATAAAAATATATTTCCATTTTTATTATAAGCATTATTTATAAGTATTTTATTTATTGATTTATTGATTTATTATTAAACATTGCAAAATTCACACACACAAAAATTGAAAGCAAGTAAGTATTATTCCATTCCAGGTGGATGCTGCACACTGGTGCTGTATGAGGAGAGACCCCCCACATGATTGTAAAGCGCTTTGGGTGTACAACAATACACAATAAAGCACTATATAAATGCATCATTCATTCATTCATTCATTCATATTCATTCACAGAAAGAGAGAGGAAACTACTATTTTTGTTAATTGGTCAGGAAGGAACAATTAACAGCTCATGCTGATAATATTAATTGATATACTGTCTATAATTAGCTTACAGAAGACTCTGAAATCATAATTTGGGACACATTTACTTTACTTAAACAATAAAATACCATCATGTTTCACACACCTGCACCAGCCAATCAAATCACAGAGGACAAAACCAAGACCCGCCTACATTAATCCAGATTCAGTCACAATGTGAAAGACAAATCTGAGCTGATGGCTGAAAGGCTGAAGGTTCAAACTGCACGAGTTGATTTAAGAAAAATCACTATTAGGGCTGCTGATGAATCAAAGTATTAGATGAAATATTAATGAATGAGTAATAATAGAGTCGTCGTCAGATCGCGGATGAAAGCTCATTAACGAAACAGCCAGAGGTCACTATACTGTCCTTCTGTGTGTCTGTTGTTCATGAATGAGTGACACGTCCCCTCGACGGGCAGCAGTACAGTAGTGGTTCACTGCTGAGACAGCATGCAGCCAGGACGACTGCTGACTCCACACATATTCCTTCACGTTCTGTCAAATCCAATGACATCTGAGCCCCACTGAGAAGGGGAAGCAATTTAAGACCCCCTTTGTGTGGAGTCTGACCCATTCGACTGTGTAAAATGTCAATGTAAACAGCCACTCGTCCTCTGTCTTCATCATTCAATGCTTCAGAGCCACGGCTCACATATTCCAATAACACAATGTTAATACTGGCACCATGATGAAATTATGGCTGGCAATTCACTGTCACACAAAAATTATGATTACCAACTTAGCAGTGTTTGTTCATGACAATATAAAGCCTAGAAAACATACACCCAAGTCATTTATTAACACTGAACCAGGGTTAGTATAGTTAACAAAAACTAAAACCATAAAAAAATCTCTTTACTTTAAATAAAATAATCTTTAAATGAGATAAAATAGGTTATAAAAACTTTATTTTATTCCAGATAGCTCGAATACGTTTCACACTTTTTAGACAGAATTCAAACAGAAGATAGCACTGCAAATAACCCTGGGTTAATAATATTTTAATCACTTTTCTGACCCTAGGTTACACAACATTTCACACTTGTATTTAGTCAGAGGATAGTACTGTAATTTGACCCTAGATTATCATTATTGTAATTACTTCTAACTCTGGGCTAAACAATGTTTCACATTTGTATTTAGAGGTTAGCACTGCATTTAACCCTGGGTTAACATTATTTTAACCATGTGATGAGGTCTATTTTAACCTTGGGTCAACACTATTTTAACCCTGTGATAACATCACTTTTAACCCTGGGTTAGCATTATTTTAACCCCATGATGTGGTCATATTTAATCCTAGGTTAACATTATTTTGACCCTGTGATGAAGTCAATATTAACTCTGGGTTAACATTATTTTAACCCTGTGATGAGATCACATTTAACCCTGGGTTAACATTATTTTAACCCTTCGATAAGGCTGCTGATGTCACTTTTAACCCTGGGCTAACATTAGTTTAACACTGTGATGAGGCCATTTTTAACCCTGGGTTAACACTATTTTACCCACTTGTTGCCAAGGCAATATTTCTTATTTTCATTCAGTTTAACTTGCTCTGCTAAAATAACTAAAACTAAAATAAAAATCTTTTACACGTTCACTCTAAAATTCCCTCATTTTGATGGTAATTTGTAATTTGACTTAAAGTGCATAATGTGGTTATCTTAAATAATCACTATTATAAACATGTCAGGCCTAATTTGGACATAATTAAGAACCCCTTTAATTATAAACACATTATCTCTAAGGGCTTTCTGAACTTAATGGGTTTGTTTCAACCGGCTCCAGATATTTTAGAAACAGAAGAGGGTCATCTTCATTTAAATGCTCATGATCTTTGGGTTTGTTTCCAGATCTTTGTTGTATCTGTTTATCTTACTAGCAATAAACGCTAGAAACAAACACGCTCCGAGCAGAGGATGATCTCAACATGAGCCACTATAAACAGGGATTTCCTTCAGAGCGAGATGGAGAGACAGGGCTCAGAGGACTCAAACTTCTGAAATGATTCAGGAAACCCTCCATCCCCCCTGAGGGAGTTCAGACACTGGGTTTCCAGTGAAAATCTATCTTCTCCATCCTCCACTGGGGGCTTGTGGTTCAGATACCAGCAGAATCACACCTCATGCTCACATACAGACGCTTTTGTGTCGATGTGCATTTGATCGTTGTGTTGAAAGGGAGGGATGGTTTTGAAATGAAAGCACTGGCTCCTACGCTCTTATGAGGACAGCAAAGCACCCAGATGTTTGACCAGGGTCATGGATTACAGGGGGTCAGGCTGTTTAACACTAAGTAAACATTATATTAACCCTGTGATAAGATCATCTTTAACCCGGGGTTAAACTACATTTCACACTTGTATTTAGGTAGGACATCGCATTGCAATTAGGCTATTATTATTTTAATCACTTCTAACCCTGGGTTAAACAATTTTTCACAATTTTATTTAGAAAGAGGTTAGCACTGTTTAACCCTGGGTCAGCATTATTTTAACCCTATGCTCATGTTATTTTTAACACAGCCTTAACAATATTTATCCCTGTGCTGACTCCATGTCAGTCACTCCATGTGGTCACTTTTAACCCTGGGTTAATATTATTTTAACCATGTGATGAAGTCACTTTTAACCCTGGGTTAACATTATTTTAATCCTTTGATGGGGTCACTTTTAACCCTGGGTTAACATTATTTTAATCCTCTGATGAGGTCACGTTTAACCCTGGGTTAATATTATTTTAACCATGCGATGAAGTCACTTTTAACCCTGGGCTAACATTATTTTAATCCTCTGATGAGGTCACTTTTAACCCTGGGTTAATATTATTTTAACCATGTGATGAAGTCACTTTTAACCCTGGGTTAACATTATTTTAATCCTTTGATGAGGTCATTTTTAACCCTGGGTTAAACAATGTTTACCACTTGCATTTAGGCCAAGGTTAGCAGTGTGTTTAACCCAGATTTAACATTATTTTAACCCTGTGCTGATGTCACATTTAACCCTGGGTTAACAGTAATTTAACCACATGATGAGGTCATTTTTAACCCTGGGTTGACATCACTTTTAACCCTTGATTAAACAATGTCTACCACTTGCATTTAGGCAAAGGTTAACATTATCCTAACCCTGTGATGAAGTCACTTTTAACCCTGTGTTAAACAATATTTTACACTTATATTTAGATTTTTTTGGTCTTAGATAATGTTACTGGTCATGAAAGATATTAACTTACATGTATCCATAAGGGCATGTCTTGCTGCAGGTCATGGGGCGACACTTTGGTGTGGCTACACTACATTCACACACTTCACAACCATAGCTGTCTTTCTCATAACCCATAGGACACTCCAGAGAGCAGTGCGTGGACACATCAGGACAGGTTTCATCTGAAAACCACAAACATTTACATACGAAAGATGATCAGTGAACAGTCAAACTTATTTGTATTTCACACTTCTATTTAGACAGAGGTTAGCGCTTTGTATAACCCTAGATCAACGTAATTTTAAACCCAGGTCATCATTATTTTAACGCCATGATGACATCATTTTTAACCCTGGGTTACACAACATCTCCCTCTTATATTTAGACAGAGGTTAGCACTACATTTAACCCTGTCTTAACACTATTTTAACCCTGTGCTGAGGTCACTTTTAACCCTGAGTTAAAGAACATCTCACATTTGCATTTAGATAGAAGTTAGCACTAAATTTAACTCTGGCTTAACACTATTTTAACCCTGTGCTGAGGTCACTTTTAACCATGGGTCAACATTATTTTAACCCCATGATGACATCACTTTTAACCCGGAGTTAAACAACATCTCAAACTTGTATTTAGACAGAGGTTAGCACTACATTTAACCCTGGCTTAACACAAATTTAACCCTCTGCTGAGGTCACTTTTAACCCTGGGTCAACATTATTTTAACCCTGGGTCAACACTATTTTAATCCTGTGCTGAGGTCAATTTTAACCCTGGGTTAAAGAACATCTCAAATATGTATTTAGATAGAAGTTAGCACTACATTTTACTCTGGCTTAACACTATTTTAACCCTGTGCTGAGGTCACTTTTAACCATGGGTCAACATTATTTTAACCCCATGATGACATCACTTTTAACCCGGGGTAAAACAACACCTCAATCTTGAGGTTAGCACTACATTTAGCACTACACTACTAGGTTAGCACTACATAACCCTGGCTTAACACTATTTTAACCCTGTGCTGATGTCATTTTTAACCCTGGGCTAACACTATTTTAACCCAATGATTAGGTTCATTTTAACCCTGGGTTAACATTATTTTAACCCTGTCATAAGAGAAACACAGAAATTCAGCTAATGTAAAAGCTGTTAAAAGTGTGTACTTCTGTTTCATGCATATAAATTCAAATCTAGTTATTTTTTGCAAAACTTTCGATGTTGCTAGTGTTTTCTAAAAACTACACATTATGATTTGGAGCGGATTACAATCCCATGAGCTCCATGATGCCCAAACGTCCTACTGACCTCTGATATTGACTTCAATTTGCATGGGAAAAACTTTCAGATTCATTTCAGTCATGGGGAGGATTGTGCAGATTTGTGAGGTGGATTTGAGTCCGAGATAATTATTTCTTGGACACGCTTCATATGTCCAGAGTCAATGTTTGCTTGTGTTGCGGGCCATTGGCACTTTCTCAAACATAGACTTGGGAGTATTTTGGCGCGGTCTGCACGCAACACAGTTCTCAAGGGTTTGTGTGTGTGTGTGTTTGCACTCACTGCTGACACACTGGCACAGCAGACAGCCGCTGGGGTCTTGCTGGAAGCCAAATGGGCAGTCATGCCCAGAGAGAGAGCAGTTTTCTAACGGTGGGCAGAGCAGCGGGCTCACCGTCTCATATGACGGCTCTAGAAGAGAAAGTTAGTTAGTTCCTGTTTTTTCAGCAATATACATCTCTATCAGAAAGATGAAAAACAGGAAACATCTCAGATAGCTCAAATCTGCAGACTGAAGTGCATGAAAGATCTGCAGTTGGTTTATGGTTTACAAAGCAAGTGTTTATGCTTACCATGGCTGCATTTATTTGATCAAAAATACAGTAGAAACAGTAATATTGTGAAAAATTATTACTTAAAATTATTATAATTTAAAATAGCTGTTTTCTATGGTAATATATTGTAAAATGTAATTTATTCCTGTGATGCAAATCTGAATTTTCAGCATCATTACTCCAGCCTTCCACATATTTTTGTGGAAACTGTGATACATTTTATTTTTCAGGATTCTTAAAATAGAATTATTAAAAAAATTTTTTTTTTAAATTGACATTCCCACATGGTTGCGTATTATATAAATTATTTTTAATTGAACATTTAACAAAAATAACTCTTGATCTCCACTAACAAAAATATGTTCTAAGAACATTTCACTAACATTCCCATTATGATATGAAAACATTATTTCTGAATATTCTCTGAACATACAAAACGTAGTTTTAAAAAAATGTTTTCCTTTGTTATGCAAACATTAATGGAATGTTTAGCATTTTATCATTTTGCAAACATTATGGGAATGTTACTTTTGAAAAACATTCTTAAAAAAGTAGCAACATTTAAAAAACATTATACGAACGTTCAACTAAAATGTTTCCATGAATGAATCATGATGTATAAACAACATTTTGAGAACATTATTAAAGACTCAATAACGCTGAACAAACAATCTATTAATGTTACTGGAAGAGTGTTTGCTCACTTTTAAATAACTTTTAAAACTTTAAAAGAACGTTTCCAGAAGGTTCCCTGTTAGCTGGGATATATATTCTTTCTGACACGTAAACAACTCATACTGGGAAATAATAATGTGGTCATACCACCCACTGCTGTTCACATTATCCAATAGCTCCTATATTTTAATTATACAGACATTTTTCTTCAGAACAACATGCACTGATTAGATTCACAAAAAGGGACATCAACTAAGGATTTAAAGAGATTGATTTCACATCGACTGTTTTACAGATGTGATGCAAACTCAGATGTTTCTGTTAAATGCATCCTCATGTGCTCAACTGGTGCGTGTTGCAAGAAGTGCGTGTTGAAGTGAAACTTCAGAGTCATCTGTTGTTTGGCTCTGATCATGTGAGCCGCTCCTAGGGTTGTTTGCTCCAAGCGCATCTGTACAGTGCAGTTTAACTGCAAACAGAAGCGTCCGGTTTGCATCGATTACACATAAACACAGCCGCAATTACCGTGCAGCGATCCTCCTAATCTGACAGCCGTGAAGAACGGGTTTTGTTTAAAGTTGCCTCACGAAGCAAAAGTAGCATCAACAAACTGCTTTTCTGATTTCTTCTGTCACCTCAAAATCACAGCAAAACAAGGTGCATTTGTCGAGAGCAACACATGTGCAAGCATCAATTGCAACCACGTTGGCACGTACGGAGCTAAAGAGGTGTGACTAATTATTCTTCCAGAAAATAATAAAGTATAATTAAGGACAGCAGGTGGCTTCCATTTGGCTGCTTGGAGCAGTAAAAGGTAAAGCTTCTGTAGTCCGCAGACGCCTGCTGCTCGATGCTGTTGAGCACACGTAAGTTGAACGCCAGTCTGAGCTTTAATAGGCTGTCTGTGTGTGTGTGTGTGTGTGTGTGTGTGTGTGTGAGTGTGTGAGTGAGTGAGTGAGTGTGTGAGTGTGTGTGTGTTTCAAGAGCTCGAGATACAATAAACCTCTGGCAATATCTGCAAACACCACTAAACAGAGACAGATTGCAGCCTGCAGCAGGAACTTAACCTGCGCCTCCATTACAGCCTTTCAACATTTATATTCAGGTATGTATGTGTGTGTATATATTTATATATAAGATAAAGATATATATTTAAAGTATAAGTGTGTATATACACACGCACACATATAATAACAATATAAAACATATATTTCTTAGCATACCACTTTCTACTTTTAATCTTTTCTTTTTTTCACTTTTTTAAAACTTTTTTTAAAACTTTAAATCATTAACAGAACCTGCTTCCATTTATATACACATACATATACACACGTTTTATATACAGTTTTTTTTTCAACTGCTTACACACACAAAATGCAAAATACCTCACATCTCTTGCAAAATGAAGCACTGCGTTCAAAATCTCACAAACACCTCTCAAAAGCAGACACCTTTGGCATAATATTAATTCCTGTTAGATGTGTGTGTGTTACATAGAGAATCGTGTGTTGTGTTTTGCAAAAAGTGTTTTATGAAATTGAAAAGGCTGAGAATTAGTGTCTGGTTTTGCAGATCTGGTGTGTGCTTCTGCTGTTTGAGTGTCAGCTTCAGAAACTGTGTGACAAGTAAAGCTTTTGTGTGTAAGCGGTTGAAAAAAAACTGTAAATGCATTATACATTAATGCAAGATACATTTACGCAAGTAATGCATAATTTATGCATTACAATTACTTTTTTTGTTATATTAGCATATGCTTTATGAAAAAACTTGAGCTGCTAATTAATAAAGTTAAATGGCCGCAGGTACTGATAATACAGATATATTTCTGGTTCTGTCTACTGTGAGGTCATTTCCTGTTTGCCGCTGGGTCAGAACCCCCGCTGAAGGGTTGTGACCTTTGTGACTTTATTTTGAATAGTTGGAATATCTTGATCATCATATCAGTGAAGTGTCGACATGTCTGTATTCACACTTGATGTGGGAAATAGTGAATTCTGAAGTGTTTATGTTCAAAAGCCGGATGAATACACATATGTCAGCAGTGTATGTGTGTGTGAGAGAGCGAGAGAGAGAGTGTGTGTGAGTGTGTGAGAGAGAGTGTGTGTGAGTGTGTGAGAGAGAGTGTGTGTGAGTGTGTGAGAGAGAGTGTGTGTGAGTGTGTGAGAGAGAGTGTGTGTGAGTGTGTGAGAGAGAGTGTGTGTGAGTGTGTGAGAGAGAGTGTGTGTGAGTGTGTGAGAGAGAGTGTGTGTGAGTGTGTG